GGCGGCTCGGAGGGGAAACAGAGGGAGGGAGGAACTCCGGATGAACCGTGCAATGCTCCTGCTCCCAGCCCAGAGCAAGGAAAGGGCACAAAGCCAAGCCTGTCCCAAGGATTACTGTGCAAAACTCATTTCAGACCGGGCCTGCAATGTGGCTGTGCCTGCAATCCAATTTAAGGGCAGCCCAGCAGAAGGCCTGGGTAGGAGTCCCTGGGGAGTTCCCCAAGTGCCTCCTAAATCTGGTTACCTGCATTTCCAGATGCTCTTTTCTGGGTGCCTGCAATGGTCTGCCACAGCCCCAGAACAGATTAATGCAGAAGTGAGGGCTGGAAATCATCAGCTCCTGCAGGAGCAGCCGCAATCAGCTGGATTTAACAGGGATGGAATATTTGCAGGGCTGGATGTCATTCCCACGTTCCCACAGCAAAAGTGCAGCTTCACTGGTGGCAAACCCAAAGCAGGGCTGGCTCTGCATCAATGCCAGGCCAGGTCACCCACTCAAGGTGCACTGAGCAGCAGATGGTGGCAAGGATCACCTTTGCTATGCCAAGTAAATCAAACCAAAACCTCAAATGCCAATTTCCTGGTTTGAAATGGAAAGCTGAAGGTGGAAAGATGCTAGAGCTGCCCAGGGGCTGGGCTCACAGGTGGGTGAGCACCACAAGCAATGGAAGGGATCCCAAAAATGGCAAATTGTTAAAAACCAATCATATCACATCAGATGTGCTCAAATTCCTTGACATCTTCCTGGAAATACCAAATTTCTGGCCAAAACATCTTGGGAATAACGAGGTTTTCTCTCCCACGGTAATTCCAAAAGCCTTAAAAGCAATTTTAACAGCAACAGGGAGCTTTTCCACACTGTGACTTTACAATGGGGTGGTGCATACAATGCTTAAATAAATTCTCCTCTAACAATTAGAAAGGAAGAGAATTATTGAAAAGAAGAACAAAGAAGTGAACCTAAAATTAAAATGCACTTACACAATTAGCTCTGAGTTGTAGATACTGCTGCCCCGAGGAAGAACAGAATGACAATAATTGCTGAGGTTTCCATAGAATTTCTAACCCTAAGGCATGTGGAGCTCTTTGCACATGCTGATTTGCATTGTCTGAAAACACTTTGCTGATAAACCAAATTAATCTCTGGAGAGGAGAGAACCAGCCCAACACATTCAAAGGTCAGTTGAAACAGAAGGAGAGTAGGTGGGGAGCAAAGTTCTATCCGTAATAGAGTTTATTCAGGCACCAAAATTAGTTTTAAGTCCTGTTTTGGACCTCTGGAATGAAGCAAAGGACTGGGAGTTGGATTCAATAGGTGCTGCATTATGAGGGATGGCTGTGTTTACCTAAATGCAGTTGGAATGTGGGGAATGTGGGGCTGGGGGCTCTCTCTGTGCCAGGAGGAGCTGTCAGGTGCTCCAGCTGCAGGGAATGTGGGGCTGGGGGCTCTCTCTGTGCCAGGAGGAGCTGCCAGGTGTCCCAGCTGCAGGGAATGTGGGGCTGGGGGCTCTGCCCTGGCCATGGGTCCCTAATTCCAGCTGCAAGGCAGACCCTGCCCCACCACAACACCCTCACTGCCCAAAGCACAAATCATGCAATTAAAGCAGACAAAGATGAGTTACATCTCAAAGCTCCACGTGCTCCGCAGAGCCTCAGCTTCCTCACCAGACACAAACTGATGCAGAACTTCTGATCCTAAATCTTGTATTGGACCAAAGAACAAAAAGAGGTTTAGCTGCACTGTAATCTCTTTCTCCAACATCCAAGCACATTGACAGAGATTATCTTTCAAAAATTGAAGGAAACTGTGCTATTGTAAACCTCTAATCCCCTCTCTCCTCTGTAGGAAACAAGATAAATATCTTGATTTCACTCAGCACAATTACAAGAATCTTTTCTCTTATCAGAAGGTCTCTGTTCCCTTCAGGGAGGCATTTTGGGAGCTGGGACAAGGCTCCAGCAGTTCCTGCTCTTTGGGGAGCAGGAGGCTCCTCTGACACAGGGTGGTGACTTGGGCTTTGTGGAACTCCCACATTCCTGCACCTGAGGGTTCCTCTGCCCCTGGACCCTGCAGCAGATCCCAAATGTCCCCTGACTCAGCCCAAATGTGTCTGAGGGACCTCAGATGGTCACAGCTCCCTGTGCCCTGACAGCCCCAGCCACAGGGAATGGCACTGTACAGGCTGGCACTGATGCCAAGCTGGAAAACCATGCCAGGGAAGTTGGAACATAAGTTTGGTTGAAAATATTGGCAGAGCTTCATTAAAAAATTAAGAAAGCTCCTTCAAGAAATGACAAAACTCTTTTTTTAGTTGTAACTGAGTCTAATCATCCGCCATATTTTTAGAGAATTCCTTTCCAGGTTGGCAGCTAATGAAATTTAGGTGAAAATCAAATTACCTCTTGTCTATTTAACAACATTAACATTTCCAGGCAGCAATCAGATCCCCTCAGCTTGGGCTTGGTCTGGAGCCATTTCTGCTGGCACAGGGAGCTGATCCCTGAACTGAAACCTCTGGAGTGGAAAACACATCTTGAGCAACCTCTGGCTGCCCTGCCCTGGGCAAAACAAATGAAATATCACTGAACTCACCATTTTTAAATGCTCATCCTTTGCTGTGTCTCTCAAGCTTTTGCTCAGAAATTTCCAATAAAAGAATTTAGTGGGAATGTGCTTTATTAGCACCTTGGCAAGGGGGGAAACTCTTCCCTGATGGTGCCATGAATAAAGGAACTGCTGGGGAAGGGGCAACTCAGACCCCAAAGCTCTGCAGGTGCCACCAGCACAAAAACTCCACACTTGCCTCCAAAATACCTCCAAAAATGCCCAGGGCAAATCCAGTGTGAAACAGGGAGTGCAGGGAATGGAGGGGAGGGCGGAGCAAGCCCAAAACATCCACCTGGGGCCCATGAACTTGTCCTGAAGGACACAGAACCTCTCAGAGCTCTGACTCATCTTGCAGGATCATCAAAATTCCCAGAAATTTCAACCCAATTCAAGAACAGGAGGAGATATTTTACCTGTCAGCCCAGATCCTGAGAGACCTGCTGGGTGCACCAGGAACAGCTCTGAGGGACAACCTCTGCATTTCCTGAGCTGAGCCACAGCTGCAGCCCATGAAATCCCACCCTCAATGAAATCCCACCCTCACAGGTGGGGTGGGATCACTGCTCCACACCCAGAACACCTGTGCTGTGGGAGAACCCTGGCTGAGAGCCACACACCACAAACCATTCAAAAACCATCACAAACCATTCAAAAACCACCACAAACCATTCAAAAAGCCACCACAAACCATTCAAAGAACCACCATAAACCATTCAAAAACCACAACAAACCATTCAAAAAACAGCACAAACCATTCAAAAAACCACCACAAACCATTCTGTGGTTCCAGGATTCTGTGATCACTCATCCTTTTGCTCCACAGCAGCTCTGACCACTTTCCTACCACCAGGGATTTATTTTTATTCCTCTGGATCCATGGAGCTGTTAAACCTCTCAAAACTGGAGCCTGAGCTGCTGCACCCCTGTTCCAGCGGCAGCAGGGAGTACTGGGGCTCTCTGCAGTTCCAACCCCCTCAGGTGCTCATTTCTGCTTTTCCCCACTTTGCTTCTTTTGGCTCATTCAAGAGGAAAATCAGGAAGTGTTTTCCCTTGGAGAAATCCTATTGACATTTGGGGAAGACCTCTCTGGTAGAAAAGGAGTGGTAAATAAACCTCTCACCAGAGCTTTCCCTTTAGAGAGCAATGCAGGGCTCTGAGCACTTCTGAGAGGAAATAGGAGCACAGCAGAGTGACCTCCCTGACCCAGATGTGCCAGAGTTTGTCTGCTCTGATCATTGCTCAAATACATTTCACCCAAAGTCATCTTCTTTGCTGTGGCAAAATTTCACAACTTGTTTTATCCAGGAATTCCAGCAATGCTGACTTGGCTCCCCATCCACTTGTGCTGCACAAGAGTTCAATGATTCATGGAGGCAGGAGTTTGTTGGTTTGTGTTGAATAAATAGCTACTGGTGACAGAAGAAATGCAAACACTCTGTTTCGAGGGGAGCACAGCATTTTTCAGATTATTTTGGCTTTTTTCAGTCTGGTGTTGCACAGAGCCCTGAACACCCAGAAATCCCCATTTATTTACAGCTCATTATTGTGCTAACTTGTGTCATAGCTGAGTTCAGCACAAGGTCTGTCCCTCTTGCCACTGCTCTCCCTGCCAGGGGACAAAAAGCAGCTGTAAAACCCCACTGCCACAACCTCCCCATTTGCAGAAACTTTTGGTCCCTTTCCTAAAGAAGATGCAGCAGGCGGCATCCACAGGGTCAGGTTGTTCCCTTCGGACTAAATGATGCCAAAATTCACACACAACTTCTGCATTCTCCCATCTCTTTCTGGGCACACCTGGAGGAACTGCCAACAGCTGCTCCCTATAAACCTTGTCTGAGCACCTCAGGATTGCTTTTGTCCCATCCCTTTCTGAGCACTGATACCACCAAGATACTGCAAAATGAAAACAATCCTGTACAAACTCCTCTTGCTGATGGCTGCAGGCTCTGGGCAGCCCTGGGCTGATGCCTTCAGTTTGAGCTTTCATATTTTCCAGACTCAGTACTGTGTTAGTTTATAACTCTGAATTTCATATAAAGTGTCAGCAAGTTCTCCTCACAGCTTAGTCCCACAGAACAATCCTTTTCCAGCCCCACAACCAAGGACACTGCTGCAGCTTCATTCCCCAAAACAACAGGGAATGGAGGGAGCAACCTGGGAGGGTGGGACTGCATCACCTGGAGCTGGGATTGGACACTGAACCCCAGCATGGAAATGGACCCAAACTTATCAAAGTGTGAGAACTCGTGGCCAGGATCCCTCTGGGGTGGAGCCACGGTGGGGTTCTGGCACTGACCAAGGTGTAACCTTTGAAGGTTAATGAATCCCAACTTTATTCCTGCCACACTGTCACCTAGGTGGCCTTCCAGGCAGGCTCTGAAGGCAGACTCACCTCAGCACGTGCGTGGAGCCGTTGATGGTGGTGGTGGAGCAGGGCACGGTCTGGCCCAGGATGGAAGGCCTTCGGTAGCGCTCGTCGCCGCAGCAGAGGATGATGAGGAAGGCACGTCTGAAAGCCTTGTTGAGGAAGGCGTAAAGGAAAGGGTTCAAGCCCGAGTTGATGTAGCCCAGCCACAGGAAGGCCGTCCACAACTTGCCAGGCACCGTGTAGTTAATGAAGGGATCCACGATGTTGGTGACAAAGAAGGGGGCCCAGCAGAGGCAGAAGCAGCCCATGATGATGCACAGGGTCTTGGCAGCTTTGGTCTCTGTTTTCATGCGGTGGCTGCTGTGCTGGTCAGGGGGATGCTGCCGTGGCTCCTGAGGGCCCGGATGTGGATCCTGGGGGTGTTGCTGTGGCTCGTGAAGGCCCCGCCATGGTTCCTGAGGGCCCAGCCGTGGCTCCTGAGGGCCCTGATGTGGCTCCTGGGGGTGTTGGCCCTGCCGTGGTTCCTGAAGGCCCTGATGTGTCTCCTGGAGGTGTTGCTGTGTCTCCTGAAGGCTCTGCCGTGGCTCCTGGGGGCCCTGGCGGGGCTCGGCCGGGTTCCCCGCGCGCTGCAGCAGGCGGATCTGCCGCGCGTGCGCCCGCGCCGTCACGTAGATGCGGTGGTAGGCCAGCACCATCAGCAGGAAGGGGATGTAGAAGGCCACCACGGAGCAGGTGATGGCGTAGGGCTTGTTCACCATGAAGATGCAGTAGGTGGAGTTGGAGGCCTTGTTGAACTGCCTTTGCTGGATCTGGGGTGTGGAGGGGAGGTGAGGAAAGGAAGGAGAGAAGAAGTGGGAATCAGAGAATGGGTTGGGTTGGGAGGTGTCAACTACACCCTCATAATCTCAGCGCTATCAATCAATTTAGGAAGCTTTCTCTACACCTCAGGTCAAATGTAGTGCTCTCTTGGGAGTCAGAGTCTGTCAGCACAGAAAGTCTAAAATTCTCAGCATCCAGGACTCCAACAGGGAGGGACCTTAGAAATCATCTTGTGTCAACCCCTGTCATGGGCAAGGACACCTTCCAGTAGACCAGGTTGCTCCAAACCCCATCCAGCCATCCTTGGACACATCCACAACCTCTGCCAGGGCCTCACCACCTCCCAGGGAAGGATCTTTTCCCAATATCCCATCTAACCCTGTCCTCTGCAGGGTGCAGCCACTCCCTTGTCCTAGCGCTACAAGCTCTTGCTTTTTCTACCAAGAGAATAATCCTGCCTCTTATTGAAATGAGAGCTGCAAAGGCCGAGGGGACCAAGGACTCCTGAGGTGCTGTCAGGGGCCAGCTGGGCTTGGCCTCTTTTCCAAGGACTCCTCACTGAACTGAGAGTGAACGTGTCTAAAATCCTCTCCCAGGCCACCCCTGTCCCTGTGGCAGTCCTTCCAGGACAGAGCCACCTCAACCCCCCTAAAGACTCCTCCAGAAATTCAGCAGCCCCTCTGCACTGGCAACAAGGAGTTTCTCCTTCTTTTCCCCTTTCCCTGAAAATTGTTTTTTAGGGAACATCCAGCACCCACCCAGCACATTGGATCAGTGTCCCTGCTTGGCCACTCACCAGATCAATGATGCCAATGCTGTTCCAGCCCTGCATGATGGGGAGGAAGGAGATGAAGGTGGGGATCACCCAGCAGCCCCCCAGCATCAGCGCGATGCGCAGCGGGGTCATCTTGTTCCTGTACACCAGGGGCTGGCAGCAGATGGCATAGTACCTGTGGGGCAAAAACGGGTCAGAAAGCAGATTCTTCATGCAGAAAAGCCAGTTCTTTATTCCCTATTCTTTATTTTTCATTAATTTTTCTGTAGTTTTCACAGACTTTGTGTTCAACCCCAATTAGCTGGGAGTTTTCCTGGCACTCAGTTCATTGGTTAGGAGGTATTTGTGTGCACATGTTAAGACTTTTTCTGTTCACAGGTGTTTATATATTTTCTTTGTGGATTCTCATGGGACAGATCTTTTGTTATTAAAGGTGCAAACTGGTTTTCCTCAAAAGACGAACTTGTTGTGTTAACTGGCTTTCATTTTCAAGATTATTTCACGTGGAACTTAGCTAGCTGCTTAGCTGTACTTAGAAAAGTAACAGGCTTAAGCCCTGATTTGATAAAGCTTTTCTCCTATAAGATTCCTACCTGTATGCAACCCAAAAGCAGGACAGAAACAGTCAGAAGGGACTTCCAAGCCTTCTAAAAATTAAATTGTAAAGCCCTTTCTCCAGCTGCCTTTCAAACCAGAGGGAAAACAGGGGTCTGTATCCTGCTTCCATGGAGCCCCTCGCACAGGAACTTGGGACATTTCCCCAGGGTTCACAGTGGCTGGCAAGGTAAAGGCAGAGTTTTCTGCTTTCCAAGGAGAATGAGGCCAAGGTAAATGCTGTGGGCTGTCTGGGGTGGCAGGGCAAGGGAGAAATCCCATACTCAGCCCTGCTCTCCCTCTGCACTGAGGATGTCCCCACCCTCCAAGGAACATCCCTTCCCTCCAGGCAGCCTTAGCTGAATTTCCTGCACTGGACATTTATTTTGACAAGCTGCAAAAGCTGTTAGCACAAATTAACAAATTCTCCCAAAGCTGTGAAACTGGCAGTGAAATGAGGTGTGTTCTTCTATTTCCCAGGAATCCACCCCTTTTCCAGCTGGGCTTTAACCTTCCCAAGGACAGGGCAAAACATTTGCACCATCAAGGGGATATGCCCTGAATTGCCCTCTCTCCTCCTGATCCTTTCCAAATATCCAAAGTACAACAGGTCCCTGCCCCTAAAACAGTTATGACCTAAAAGTGTCTTCTCAAAGAGATAAAAAATCAAATTTTCTGTTTGTTTGATGCCCGTGCCACTCCCTGCAGGTGGATCTCTCCATCAGGAAGGAGTAGCAAACCTAAAACTGGAAACCTCTGGCTCTGAAATTATTGTTTATTCCTAAGAAGACCAGATCAGCAAATATCCAATTACAGACTTTTACTGGTCCTGACCTGACAATCAGTCTCAGGTTCCCAATAAAACAGTTTTTGCTCTTTCGATTTTTGGATTTCAGCACACTCTGTAAAAAATTTTATGAGGGCAGCAGAACCAAGAATTAGAGGAATTAAATTAGCAAGCACACATGTGTGTATTAAAGAGCTGCTCTTCGAGATGTGCATTTATTTCACCAAGATTTGAGTGGGAACCAAGAGCTTTGTCCTAAACAGGCACAAGAATATAAGAATTTCCATTTTTTCCTAAGGTTTTTTTTTTTTAAAGTCATGTGGAGTCAACCGAATTGCTTTATTTTGATAAAATCAGATGATATATTCCACACAGAGGCTTGAAATAATATCAAAGTGTCAAAAGAAAACATTTCTTAAAAGTCTCTTTGAAACAAGATTCAAAATGTCACAGGGGAAAAACGCTGAAACAGGCATTCAACTCCTGCAATTTGATAATTCCTCTGTTCTCCTCTGGTTTCCTGTGTGCATGAAAAATCAGCCTGTTCCTCTGGAAAGCTGCACTTCCAAAAAATAGGATTTGCCAGGAGCTGCTCTTTTAGAGCTGAGGGTGAAATGTTGCTCTGGTGGAGCTCCAGCTCCCCTGGGGCTGATCCCTGCCCAGGAAATGACCTTGGAGTTCCAACAGGAATTTTGGGGAGGTTTTTGGGAGAGAGAGAGCTTCAGAGCTGCTCCTCTGACTCTCAACACAAAGGATCTATATAAAAAATAAATTCAAACTATTTCATTGTTTCTTATCTCAAAGCCACCCACTGGAAGTGCTGGACATCAAAGGCATCAAAGGCAAGGCACGAGAGACTCCATTTCTTTGCAGAAAGGGCAAAAAAAGAAATCCAATAAATGAAAGGATAAAACCAGCCAAGCCAGCAGCCAGCCTTTGACAAGTTGGATAAGCAAACAGGAAGAGAAAACCACTGTACACTGATAATTAATTGCAGCAGGAAAACAGTTCTTGCCAGCAGTTTGAGTGATCACATTTCTCTGCTCCTCTGCCTGCTGCAGCTGAAAGAATTGCACTGAATTGTTCCTGCTATTAAAGGCCATTAGAGTAAAAATTATGCCTGTAAAAATGACACCTTAAGCTCTCATATTTCTTCCCTCCCAGTGATTCAGCAGCAATTTTCCTCCACTTTCACGTCAGAAGATTTTATTTTATTTCACTTTGGCTGCTACCAGAACTTCCCCCGTGCTCAGGCAGCCCAGCTGGGCTCCTGCTGTCACTGTTTTGGGTGACAAAGTGCCCTGAGCAGGGTGTGGGTGACAATTGTGTGATGGGGAGGGAGGCAGAGGGGCACAGCACCCACGCCTCAGAGCTCAGCAGGATTTCCATCCTGGGAATTAGATGTCACACAGCTGTGGGTGCCACCAGAAGGCCTGGATGTCACAGCTGCTGCAGGAGCTGCTGGTTTGATGGATGTGGTGGTCTGAGCATTTTAGCAGCTATTTATTCACTGGGAGAAAAGTAATTATATCTGTGAGATTGTCAATAGTCCCAGTCAGAGGCTGGGATAAAGACAAGCTCTGCACTCCTGCCCCATTCCAAGCAGAGCTGTTTGCCTGGGCTCCCAGGGAATGTCTGTCACGGGCTGCTGTGGCAGTGTGATGGATGAACACAAAATGCAATACATACACGTGATTAATACCTTGTCCAGGCCCAATTAAATATTAATTCTCTCTACTATCAGTCAAGTTCCTCGCAAATGTTCACTTCCCTGTTCCCTCCAGCAGAGCAGCTGATGTGAAACCTCCTCTCCTCTGCAATGACATTCTCCACTGAAGGGGAAACACAGGAATCCCTTCCCAGAGCTGCAGCTCTTCCAGCAAAGCAAAGGTTATTAAAATACTTCTCCTTTTCCTTATGAGGCATTTGCCACAGGAATGAATCTGGTGCTGACATTTCACAGGTGGCTGAAAAGAAGAAATCCATCATTTCTCTGGCCTTATGGCTCTTTGGCCACTGCAGAAATCACAGAATCACAGGGAAGGTGAGGAATCCTTTGAACTACAGGAAAGGAGTTGGGAAGGGACCTTAAAGATCATTTAATTTTACCCCTGCCATGCCAGGGACACCTTTGACTTATCCCAGGAGATCCAAGGCCATCCAGCCTGGCCTTGGACACTACCAGGGATCTCTGGGCACCCTGTGCCAGGCCCTGCCCACCCTCCCAGGGAACAATTCCTTCCCAAATCCCATCCATCCCTGCCCTCTGTCAATGGGAGCCATCCCCTTGTCCTGGCACTCTTTTTTCATCATTCCCCAGGCACTGGAAGGTCCCAGCTGGGAACCAGTCCCAGAGTTCCTGCAGCTCCTGGATCTGCCTGCATGGGCTGTGGGCCATGGCAGGGAATTATTGATTTATCCAAACACCTCCTCCACCCCCTGGCTGTGCCAAAGCTGCCCTGCAGTGCTCAGCTCCTGCAGATATCTGCATCTATGATTATATCCTGCCTCAGCCCCACTGAGGCTCTGGCCACAGCCCTGCTCCTTCCCACCTCCTGGGCACTGCAGAAATGGAATTACTGAGCTGCGGGAGACCATTCCCTGCCCCTGGAGAGAAATGAAAGCATCTCCTGGTTTGCAGAGCAGTTTGGAGCCGGGAGCCTGCAGGCACCACCCTGCAAGGAGCTCTTCAGCTCTCACAGACAGACAAATCCACCCCCAGCCTTATTAGCAGCCTGCCTCTGGGGGTGGCCCACACTTTAAAGCATTTGGTGTCATGTGCATATGGAAAATGATGTACAGAGCATATGCTGGATCATCCTGGGGCCAGGATGAGCCACAGAACACTCACTGAGCACTCACACTGAGTAATATTTCACCCCCCTTAAATCATCCACGAGAAAAGAAGCCAAAAGATAGGAAACTGGAAAAAAGAAGCCAAAAGATAGGAAAACTGGAAAAAAGAAGACAAAAGGATGGGAAAACTGGAAAAAAGAAGACAAAAGGATGGGAAAACTGGAAAAAAGAAGGCAAAAGGATGGGAAAACTGTGGGTGCTACTGGTTCTCTCCCAAAGTCAGGGTGCAAGTGTCAGTGGGAAGTCACTGCCCTTGTCCTTGTCCCTCAGGGAATCCAGACTGGGACAGAGTCTCCAGCTGAGCCCTGACCAAGTGATGAACCTAAGGAGCCACAATTTCAATTTATTTGCTCCTTTGGGAAGTTAATCCCACACTGCTGTTGCTGATATTTCAGTGAAAACAGGTTCTGGCCTCTGTATAACCAGATCTTAACATTTTTTGGAAAGAACAGCTCTTTCTATTTTCCTTTTTCCCACTGAGCAAATAAGCTTTGGGCTCTCATTGTGCCAAAGAAAACAAAGTTCTGCATTGTTGGTCCAGAAAAAGAAAATGTCCTAAAATGATTATATCTAACAAAATTAAATTCTTATTAGAAAAACAACGGCCTGCTGGTGTTGAGATAATTACACTGAGAAAAATGCTAAAGAGAACAGTTAATTTGAGCTGGATAAATTTAGCAGGGAACACAAACAAATGTATGTTGCCAAATGCAGAGAAAGGGGGCTCCTGATGGTCCCCGTGAGGCTGAGGTGTGAGGGGGTTACTGGCAGCAAGGGTGGTGCAATAAATGAAATATTTCTGGAGGGTTTGCAGAGATGAATAAAGGGCAGAGCGTCCCTCAGCCTGTGCTGTGGCCATCTGCTCTGGGATTTTCCTCAGAGCTCCCAGAGCTGCGTTCTGCAGCCTCTGCCTGGTGTCCTGCCTGGCAGGGACAGCTCCACAGCTGTGTCACCTCTTGTGTCACCTGCCTTGGGGACAGGCCCAGCTGTCCCTGCCTGTGCTGCCTCTGTGCTCCCACCTGAGCTGTCAGAACCTGTGAGACAGGCACAGGAATTTACAACCTGGAATTTGGGGCATTTAATCAGACTGTAGCCATTAATTACTGCCACCTAGGCCAAGTTTAATCACTCTCCCCACTAACAACCTTCCCATGGCCCTGGGCAGGCAGGGATGTTCTATAGGGCACTGCAGCTTCCTCCCAGCCTGGGCAAACCCCCTGTGCTCCCAGCCACAGCCTGGGCATCCCTTGGGCACCAGGCAGTCCCTGTCTGTGATCCATGGGAAGGGGACAAACAGGGAATGCTGGGCTGGCAGGAGCAGGGCAGTGCCCACTCTGTCCCCAGGGCCATGCTCTGTGCCCTGGCACTGGGCTGCTGTCACAGGATGGCACCACAGGGCTCGGGAGGCTTTACAGCATCACCTCTCCCACAGGGCTGAGCTAATTTCCTGCCCATTAATGGTAATTAATGTTTGCAAGCAGCACAAGGAGCAGCTGTCACTCTCCGGCTGCATCTGCCGTGCTTTAGCCCTGGCTTAGCAGGGATTTTGGGTTGTAGGATCACTTTGGGATCAAAGGACACGCTCAGGGCTGGTTTGTGGTGTGCAGGTGTCTGAGACACCCCAGCAAACAGAGCAGCCACAGGGACACAGCCCTGGGGAGGGGCAGGAGGCAGGCAGAGGATGCTCCCGCTGCACCCAGATGTGCCAGATGTGCACCCAAATCCCAGACATTTGGGACCTGTTTGTTTCTCTGCTGTTCTCTCCACCCCCCCTAAAGACTCTGAGAAGTAATTGCATTGCAAATTGGACTGCAAATATTGGAGGAGAAAATTGCCTCTCCTGACAGGTTCACTGTGTTTGGAGACTCCACCAGAGCTTCTGGGTCTGTTTATTTGCAGCGCAATTATTTTTTATTGCACTGGTACAAAGAATGGACATGTATGCATAAAACATGTGATAAATAAATATTTCAAGGGTAAATCTCTCTAATATATTAGAATATCAAAGAGATTATGAAAAAGCTTAAGGCAGTGGCAGCAAACTTCAGATTCAGTGAGCCCTGAGATACCTTTGCTACCTTGGAAAATCCCTTTTCCCACTGAGACTGGCAGGGGCTGTCTGCAGTACTTCTCTCCCTGTGTCTGAGCAGGAAAATCAGTTTATTATGTGGTGATTTCTGCAGATTTTCTCCAATGCCTTTGAGAATTCAAGCCTCAGAGCTTGTTTCCTTCTTTTCCAGAGGCAGCAGTGGAAACAGATACAAGACTTTATCAGATAAAAGTCTTTGCAAGCAACACTTTGTGAATATGCTGAAGGGAATGACTTTCAAACTGAGTCTTTAGGATTAGATTACCCACCCAGTTTTCTTAAAAAAAACCCTCAAAACTCACACCTGCATGCCCTGAAATAAAACAGAAGGCAGGAAATAGATCACAGCAAAACTACCAACTAGAAGCAGCACACTCCCATAAATTCTGAATGAACACAAGAGCAAACAGCTGAAAACACTGAATTAAGTCCTGGGAAGGAAGCAGTGCTGCCCCTGCAGCCCAGGGAGGATCGATGCTGGGCTGACTCATCCTCCCCTCCACAAAAACCTCTCATTCATCCACCTGCTCTGCCCTTCTGGGGTCATCCACCCCCTTCTCCTCATCTATTCTGGCCCCTTCACACTGCTCTCAATCAGTCCTTGCTGTGGAAAAAACCAACCCCAAACCAATTTTAAAATGTCAGAGAAATTCAGGTTTAATGCCAAGGGCTGAGGTGGAGGGGTGTCCCTAAAGCATCAGCTCCAAGGCCAGGCTGTCCCAGGACCTTGGGGACAGATGGGGACAGGCAGCAGCAGCTCTGGACATGGGGGGTTCTCCAGGAGAAAGGGAGAACCTCCTTTCTGTGCCCCCACACAGGAGGTTCCCCATCCCCTGCTGCAGATCTGGGGCTGAAATCCCATTTTCCCTTCTCTCCACAACCCTCTCTATTTAATTAAGAGCCTGGAGAATCAAACTCCAGCATTTCAGAGAGCAAGGTCGTGTCCAGAGCACGATGCCCAACATCTGCTTTCCTGGTAATTGGCCCAGAGTGGCAATTTGTCAATGGCTTGAAGATAATGAGCTTCCCATTTGTGTTCCAGCCATCTAAACTTGCAGATAAGGACAGGAGCTGTGGCTGCGGGATGTCAGCTTCTCTCTGGACACAAAACTGCCTCTGCTGCTGCCCTGCCTCCCACCCCACAGCACTGCTGCCCATCAATACAGAGGTTAAAGAACTTTTTTTTGAAGTCTGGCTGCACTCAGACTCTCAAGGTACTGAAATGTCACATATTTAAATATCAACTGCCACAGTAATAAGAATAATTATGGTTATTTTGGCCCTGTTAGCAATAGTAAGTAACAGGGTTTTTAACAGTATTGAAATCTCCACACAGAACTCAAAAAAAAAAAAAAAAACCCAAAACCAACCTCTAAAAATATTATCAGAATATTTTCTACTGAGCGTTTATCTTGTGAAAAACTCTTATGGAAGTTCTGCCATTTACCCAAAAATCTGCAGACAACAGTCAAACAGAATTGCTCACCAGAAATTATTGAGGCTTTGGGCTTTATTTTCAGGTGGCAAGAAAAGTTTGAAGGAAAGGAAAGTTTGAAAGAAAGGAAAGTTTGAAAGAAAGGAAAGTCTTCAGGATCTCCCAGGAGATTTAGGCTGGAGAAGATCTGTGCCCAATCCCCACCTTGGCACCAAGAGCACTGAGTGTCACATCCAGGTGTCACATCCAGGTGCCACCTCCAGGGATGGGCTCTCCAACCCTCCCTGGGCAGTTCCAGTGCCTGAGCCCCCTTTCCATGGGGAAATTCCTGCTGTGCCCACCCTGAGCCTGCCCTGAGCCCCCTTTCCATGGGGAAATTCCTGCTGTGCCCACCCTGAGCTGCCCTGGTGCAGTTTGAGGCTGTTTCCCCTCATCCTGGGAGCAGAGGAGCCTCTTTGCTGGAACAACCTCTGTGCATGTTGTCCCTCCCTCTGCCCCAGCTCAGTTCCCACCTCTGGACACATTCCAGGTGATTTTACTCCAAAGGAGGAACAGAACCACACCTGGTCAGTGCTGCCAGCAGGGCTGTGCCCAGAACAACCCAGGCCCTCCCATAAATCTCATCGCATTCCAAATTTCTCTGTCCTCAGCAGGTTTCACTCCAAAATCAGCCCCTGGAGGGATTTATTGCTCTGCCATTCTGCAGGTCCATCTTTGCCCCCTGGCAGCTCAGGATAGCCCAGAACCCTCAGAGCCTTCCAGCAGTGCCCCTGTGCAGCTGTACCTGTCCAGGGAGATGCAGCAGAGGTGCAGGATGGACGCTGTGGTCAGCAGCACGTCCAGGGAGGTCCTCACCAGGCAGAACATCTCCCCATAGATCCAGTTGTCCTGGACCAGCTCCATGGCTCCAAAGGGCATCACCAGCACCGACACCAGCAGGTCAGCAAAGGCCAGGGACACGATGAAATAGTTGGTCTTGATTTTCCTGCAAGGCAGATCACAAAATTAGGGTGGGTTCAGTGCAGCAGCCTCCACGCGTGGACAGAGATTCCAGCTTGAATTTGGGTTTAATCTGCTCCATCACACTAAAAGGTTCTCTCTATCACACTCCTCACTTTATATGGTCACCCCTGGCTTGCTCCTGGTTTTTAAAGTTAAATATCCACCATTTTCCTGGCCTAAATCTTTCTGCTCACCCAGGGGAGGCAAATGGATGCTCACAGGCCTCTGCATGTGGCTCAGGCTCACAGCTTGCACTGGAGACTCTGGGGTGGAGGAAGGTGATTTTATTTTAACTTGTAAATGGAGAAAATCCTTCCAGAAAGCACTGAGAATAATCTAGACTGAAGCTGTAATTTTAGCTTGAAGAGTACTTTTTAAATCACAACAATAAAATAGAATTAAATCCATTAAAAATCCCACGCAGCGCATGAATAGAGGCTGTTAAATCTCTCTCTCTGCTCCTAAGGCTAGGCTGACAATTCCCAGGGTTAGCAGCAGCCTTGAGACAGGAATTGTGCCTGTGACCCCCTCAAATCATGGGCAACATTTGCTAAGTTGTGCTGGTGCTGCACAACCACAACCAGACCTTGGTCTGTGTGCTGCTGATGAGCTCATTGGGAAATCTGAGATGGAAAAGGGCCAGAGTCAACCTGGGATTTGCTGCTTAGGTGTGCTTTTCACTGATTTGCCTGGTTTTCTACAGAGAATGCTAAAAAATGAGGATGGGAATTAAAATGGTGCCAGCACTGCCGGATGAGCCGAGGGCAGGTGTAGCCATGATATTTTCTGAAAAATCCCTTTGCCATGATTTTTCTCCAGAGAAGCTGAGAGGCCTCAGAGGAAAAGAAAAACAATAATTTTCTGCTGCTGTGGAATGCAACAGGTGCATCTTTGATTGGTCACATGTGGTTGTTTCTAATTAATAGCTAATCACAGTCAGCTGGCTCAGATTCTGAGAGTCACAAGCTTTTGTTATCATTCTGATTGTAGTTTTTTCAAGCCTTCTGATAAAATATTTTCTTTTATTCTTTTAGTACAGTTTTAATAAAATATATTAATTATGTTATATTTTTATAATTATATATTATTATAATATATAATAGTAATATAAATTAAAAAATCAGCCTTCTGAAACATGGAGTCAAGATTCTCATCCTTGGAGCCCTGTGAACACCACCACAACCCACAGCAGATCCCCGTTGTTCATCAGCCAAACAGCCTGATTTTGCAATTTTTGATTGCTCCTGCACAGCTTTTACAGGCAATCCAAACACTCCCAGTGCTCCAGAGCCATTGATCTGGTCCCTACAGCCCCAGCCTCTGAACCAGCCACATTTCAGGAGAGCTGTTACTGGTTGGGACCTCTGTCAGTCAGCCCAGACTGGTTTATGGAGCCGGGCTGGATTTCCTATTCATCACGGGATTAGTGCATTAAAAACCCACAGAGCAGCTGGTGCTGCAGCAGCCAGGAGGGGCCGTGTCCCGGGGGCTCACCGGAGCTGCCTGTCCCGGCACACGGCCACCATGACCAGCAGGTTGCCCAGGATGGCCATGAGGATGACGGCGGAGACGAAGGAGAGCAGCAGGATCTTCTCCGCGATGCCGAAGCCCTCACTGGAACTGGGGAAACAGAGACAAAGGCGTGAGAAACAAGGCTCACCCTTTACATTTTTCAAATTTTAATAAGGGACAAAGGGACAGGAGACAGCTTGACAAACTGCAAAGAGCATACCAGTTAGTTGAAACAACTTTCCTTAAATATTTTTTCATTGCACTGATCAGATGCATATTTATGAAGATTATACAGATTCAAATATTCCTTTGAGTCCTTTTACATGTTCTGGGAATTCTTTAGTTTTGTTTGACTCCTGACCCGTTGTGCAATAGTGCAGATTTGAGTTTTGGGAGTCGTGTATTTCATTTCCTCACAATGTACATAACATTTCCTCACAGTTTATATGTCATTTCCTCACATCTCCATTCTCTTTACACACAAACAGTTATTTTCCATGCAGAAGCATTTTGGGTTTGGTTTCTTTTTTCCTGTTGTTTTTTCCATTTTTTTTTTCACAAGGTTTTAGTATTGTAAAATTGCAGAATGATTCGGCTTGGAAGGGACCTTAAAACTCATCTCATTCCACACCTTCTGCTCTCCCAGGTGGCTCCAAGCCCTGTCCAACCTGGCCTGGGACACTCCAGGGATGGGGCAGCCACAGCTGCTCTGGGAATCCCATCCCACCCTCACAGGGAAGGATTTTTTCCTACCTGTAACCTCAATTTCCCCTTTTCCATTCTGAACCCATCACTCTTTGTCACTACAGCTCCTGATGTGATGTGACAAGGACTAATGGGTTCAAACTTTCCTCCAGAGAAGCATTTTACATCTTCAGTTTGGAAATCCACATAATGTTTTGCCTTTTTCTCTCTTCACTCTTTGCTACAAAACACAGAACAGTCTGGCTTTTTTTTACCTCCTTTTCTTTTTCTTTTTTTACTTAGTAATTTTACCAGAGTTAGGAAAAGGAAATAATTTTTTCCCCAAGTGCTAATTTTCCCCTACTCTGAGATCAATAATTTCTTTCAGTTAACAAAGAGGAAGAAAAGAAAAAGAAAGAATAACACAAAACCCCCACACACAATGCCAGCCATATTTTAAATCTGCATTTCTACAAATAATTTGCTGTATCAAAGAAAGTTTTTCTTGGTTTTTTTTCTCACCCAGAATGCAATAAATTCCTCCTAAACCTGATTTTATTACAAAATTTTGATATTTTTCTCCTAAAGCTGTTTTTAATTATATATCCTGAATAAACTGCATCCTAAACCTTCACCTGCTTGTGTGACTTTACATTTACAGGTGGGGAAGGGGTTTTTCCTGTTATCAATTGTGGCTGGAGATAAACTGGCATTAAAAGCAACACTTGGCACTAATTGAGCAGGAAAATTCCTTCTCAGCCTGCAGAGCAGTGTTGGACACCCAGGATTAATGCTGGGAGATTGCTCAGGTAATTGAAAAATGGAAAAACTGTTATTGGGTTTTACCTTGACTGGCCCTGGGATCACCTTTTATGTACTCAACAACATCCCAGGCTTTTTACACTTTATCTCACTGAGCTCTCCTGGTTTGGAGAAAAGCTAAAAGAGATTAGGAACTCCTGGCACCCAGAAATGTTGAGTTTTACTCACTCAAACAAGCCAGAGGAGCGCTGCCCTGAGCCACATCCCTCCTGACATTGCCTGGGGGGGTTTCACCTTTGAGAGTTTTAAATCCACATTTCCCACCCTGTGCTGAGGGTGGTGGCATCGTGGTGGCATCCCTGGGCAGAAGTGGTCACCACCAGGCTCTGAGCAGAGCAGGAACTGCCCCTGGCACATCTGGGAGAGGAATTTTAGCTCTGAAATCAGTTTTGGGATTGTTTCCCTCGTGCCACGTCCCACTGCTCCCCTGGGGGACATGGAACAGCAAATGCTCACTGGGGTGCAGCAGGGATTTCATCTGGGCTCTTTCTGCCTTTGGAATAATCCATCATCAGGAATACATGTTAATTATTCAGTCTGAGTAATTCCAAGCTGTTAATAATGGAAGAAGTGGATATTGCTGTAAATTGAAATCAATGGTTTGCATAACATCTTTTATCAAATCGGAGAGCTATGGCTCCCAAGCTTGCTTCCCTCTTTAATAAAGCAGAGATTGATGGGTTTGCTATTATGAGGAAATGAGATTCAGGCAAAATGATTGCTGGTTAGCAGGAATATAGAAATCACTTAAGGAAAAAGGTGAAATACTGATGGGGAATGAATGCTTAAAACCCACATATGGACATATTTAAAAAGCTCTTCTGCATAGTCATTAATGTGAAAGTAAAAAGAAGGGTAATTACTCTTTCAAGCTCAATTTTCACTTTCCTGTAAACACCCCAACTTTTCCAAATGAGCTCAAGTGCTTTTGCATATTTTCTGCAGCAGTTAAAGAGCACAGATCAGCCATGGGGGCAGAGCAGGAACCTTCCCTGGATCCCAGTTCACACAGAGGGGAAACCCCTGAGATTAAAACCTCACAGCTCTGGGAGCCTCACAAAGAGTTCTCTTGGTTTAACATTCCCTGGGGAGTGGGAAATAAAGGCTTGGGTTGATCATTTCCAGCCAGGGCTTTTCCCTCTGAAACATTTCATAACCACAAATAAGCTGTCATTGGCCTCTCCTCTTTGCTGCTTCTCTGATTATTCCCAGGCATAAAAAAATCATTAGGATTTAAGCACCTACAAATCGAGATAAGCTGTTTTATGAGTAAAGCTGATAATGTGGCTCAGTACCGAAACATGACAATGGGGAAGTGATGATTTGATCTCTGCCTTTCCAGCTGTTCCCACATCCTTTTCTGAAATATTAATCAGAAGTCAGCATTAATCCAGAGGCATTTAATTTCCTTTAATGCCTTTAAATGCTGCACTGCTTCACTTCAGCCCGTGCAGATGGCAGGACAGCTCCCAGCAGATCCCAGTCAATTATGTCCTTCACTTCTGTTTTAGAAACAGGCTGAAATTAATTAAAGTATTGACAAGCCAGGAATAAACAGCACTCCACGTATCAAAATAACTCGGTCATATGATTCACTTATTTGAGTGGTTTTTTGGAAAAAAAAAATCAAATAAATTGTGGCAGTGGGGTGGGAGGGAAGGGATGAGTTATTTTTGAAAGCGTATTGATGAGGGATGAGGTTTTCTCCTTTTGTGCTGGTTTGAAACAAAACTCCTGATCCCATCCCCAGCCCTGCCCCATGGATCTCCGGAGGCTGAAAGCTGCAGAGCTCCGAGAATGAAGTGTTTTAAGCAGCTGATAACACTGATTAAAACCAATTGTCAGGATGAAGCAAAGAAGACAGGCAGTTTGAATGTTTCAGAAATTGCTGTGTGTGGGCTGAGCAGTCAATCCGTGCTGGGAGCCCTCCCCGGTTTGGGGACAGGGACCTGCTGGGGCTGCCACACACGGGGGGACCTGGGGAGACCCTGGCACCTCCAGCCCTGCTCCCACCTCAGCCCCAGGGACCGAATCTGGAGTATCCTGAGCTGGGAGGGACCCACGGGATCACCCAGCCCAGCCTCTGGCCCTGCACAGCCCCAAAATCCCACCCTGGCATCCCTGGAGCAGTGTCCCATCCCTGGGGAGCCTGGGGAAGAACCTTTCCCAAAATCCAGCCTGACCCTGCCCTGGCACAGCCCCAGCCCTGCCCTGGGTGCTGTCCCTGTCCCAGAGCAGAGACTGGAGCTGCAGACCCTGAAACACATTCTAGAAGCCAGCCTGGATCTGGCTGTACATCTCCTTTCAGGGCTTGTGGGTGACATCAGCTGCTCTGCCTGGAGGAGGGTTCAGGGGTCCTGCTGCTGCATTTTCATAGAATCACAGAACCACAGAAAGGTTTGGCTTGGAAGGGATCGTAAAGAGCATCTAACTTCACTCCCCCAGCCATGGGCAGGGCCAGCTTTCACTAGAACTGAGTAAAAATTTCTTCCGAACACCTAATCTAAATCCTCCTTTTACCTTCGTTTAAAACAGTGCCCCCTTTTTCCATCTCTATCATCTCTATCTCTCTCTATCTCTATCACCTCCCACCCCCTCAGCCTCTCCAGCTGCACAGTCCCCGTGCCCTCAGCTGCTCCCCCATGGCCTCTCCAGACCCTTCCCCATCTCTGTGTCCCCCTTGGGAGTCTCTCTCAAGCTTTAGGGATATTTTCCCCACTGTGGTGCCCAGCGTGCCCCCCAGGACTGGAGGTGAGGCTGAGGGAGCTGCCAGTGCCAGCCCAGCACCCCTGAGCTCTGCTCCCTGCTCTCTCCCAGCTGGCACAGCAGAACTTCTGCATTTTCCCAGTGAAAACTGGATCTGGGCCTGAGCATTCATCCAGGACCAGGAGCTGATTTCTCATGGTCTGAGCCAGAGGCAGGAGTTTGCACTGGGGAATGAGGGAGGAAATCAAGCCAGGCCTGGGGAGCTCTGGGCTCTGCCTAGGCCTGGCTCTGCTCCTTGGCAGGCAGCACATCCCCAGTTACATAATTCACACCCACATGTGAGCAGATACCTCTGCAGGGCTGATGCATGTGAGTACAGCCCTCAAAACCCATTAGACTGTCACCTAGAATGTAAGCTAAAATTAACTTTTGAAATCAGCAGGAGATCAAGATCACAGTGTTTACATGGAGCAAAGGCAGCTGCTGCAAATCCTTTGTTTGGCACCCTCTGACAATTTCCAGAGAGCCCTTGTGCCACCCAGTCCCACCCTGGCACATCCACCTGGGCTCTGCAGCACCCTGGATTCATCTTTTTTCCTTAAATTATATTTGCAAGTCTCCAAATTTAATCCAGCTGTCCCCTTCAGGTGCTCAACATTCCCTTTGTATTCTCACAGCACTTTGGGATGTGCAGCCCAGGGTGGAGCTGGAGCTGCCCAGAGGAGGCTCCAGGATGCTCAGAGGGATGGAGCAGCTCTGCTGGGAGAGCTGGGGCTCTGTGCAGAGCCAGAGGGTTTTAATGGAGGTGCCAAACACCCCACAACAATGAAAAAACCAAATCTCTGATTTACACCCCACAACAATGAAAAAACCCAAATCTCTGGCTTAGCCAGGGA